AATTTCTTGGTCGTTTCCTGAGGTTGTATCTCGCTTGAACTGAGCTACACTGCCTCCACTGTCTCTGGTGGTGCTGCTCCGTTTCGTCCGTATCCACAACCTTTCAGGAAATGTGTGCGAATAAAATGAACGCAGTAAGGACAGAAGGCGTTGTCTCTAATGCTGAGCATATACGAGCCTTTACTCGTGTGAATCAAAAATGATCTGAAGCTTAATTCTGAGGCTTCAGTGTAAATTGTTTTCTAACAAATAATAAATATAGCAACTTCTGATCAACCCATCTATTTCAGGCTAAAAAATAACAACTTGCGGTTAGGTCCCATCCACTCCTAGTTTAAGGCACACCCACTCTATTTTAACCACGCCCATTCAAAGTATGGATATGGATACAGATAATTTAGATGGTTGAACAGATACAGATAAAAAAACACGGGTGTTTAATTTCAGCTACAAGGGCTCGGATGCACTAATCATGGCAGTTGAAGAGGGATTTTTTGAACTAATTATTAATTTGTATTAATTAATCCATTGTAATTTTTTTATTGAAATGTAAATTGTCATCATGCAGTTTGAGTAGCCTTATATTCATTATATTTTGGTGTTCATGTCATTCCTTTATCTTCATTGTCATAGCAAGGCAGACCTAACATTAATGCTCCTGCCATTTTTGGCTGTTAAATTGAATTTAGGACGGGGTCTAAGATAGGATACCTAAGCTTAGAAATCCCTCACATTCTTAATTTAGGACAGTATGTAACAGCTAAATTACTATCCTAGGATCAGATAGGATTGTTTTCCTGAATGCAGTTTGTAAACATGTTTCTGTAATATAGAAAAATCCTCGATATCCTCCCAAACTGAGAAAAGACAGGATTTCAGACCTAGAAAGTTTCTGTAATGAGGCCCTGGCTGTGTTCTGTGCTGCTGTTTGTTTACAGTAGTGCTGTTCTATCACTATATGTATGCTTTAATTATAACCTGCTACAGGACTGCAGACAAAAATGAGCTTTAAGCTAACTCTAGTACAACAGATGAGATGGTAACATTCATATTTAATACTGTCCGTGGTCCCATACAAATAAAAGATAATAATAAATCAATAGAAGATGAAACAGCTGAAACCAACAAAGACTGGACACCCCACACCTAATGACTGTTTCCACCGATTTTTAGTCTGAGCGACCGGAGAGGAGTACAAATTGAAAGACTGAGTAAATACAGAGGCAACACACTGGGAGATAGGCAGGCTATAATTATATGAAATCCTGCGAGAGCACAATTTTCACATTTAACAACTGAGTAAATACAGTTGTTAAATATATATGTGCCTTTCTGACTGCCACAACTACAAATGTGCGAATGTTTGGGGAAACAGTTTATTTTTCTAGTCCTCACATCCGCTCCTAGCTTCATAGTTTCTTTGGAAAATATAGTAATCTACTCTCCTACTAGATAACAAAGAACACACTGAGGTTATATAATGTATATAGGGATTTACAGAGTATATTACGCCTCACATATTCTGCCCAAAATAAAAATTGTAGGAATCTACAAAACTGGCAGGTCTTTTGATCATTCAGCTGTTACATCATGTCGAACAGCAAAATACCACTCTTCCGCTGCATCACTCCGTCTCTTCCCCATAAATATCCTTTTTTGTAGAGTGTATTTAAGATTGCACTGAGATGCTGAGCTATAAAAACATGCAGAGATTTCCTCAGCCACTCCTGTCCACATCCTTTCATTGCGTGACCTGAAGAGGCCATGGCAACACTCTGACAGAAGGAACACACAGAGCTCAGGGAGCACAGGGAACCTCTATGTCACAACGGATGACTGGGCCTGACATTTTAACAGAAAGGGTGGTAAACCTTTAGAAGACAGACCACACTCCAAACTGCATACTGTAAATTAATTACACTCGTCTCAGCAGGTAATAGGAGTTAAAAGTAAACATGTCAGATACTTGTGTTGAACATATCTGAAAAACAAACGATCTTCTACACCAGCGTTTTTAGTAAATGATTTTGACAGAAGATCTACAAACTATTTAACATGATTTCCTTGTTATCCTATTCAGGGTGCTTGAGACTAAAGCATTAACATTCTGCACTAACAGATCAGACAATAGCCAGTACAGCTGGTAGCTACTATATTTCAACAGTGATAGTTACCTCAGCCTAGTGCATTTTTCATACACCCTGTTTCTCCCTTTCTCCAACAGTAAATATCTGCTCACATTGCCTGGCATTACACATATATTATGTATTGATATTATTATTTTACTCAAGGAAACACCTGCTATTTTGCTTTTTCCCCCCCTTTAGTCCATGGTTCTCCTGCTCCACAGTCAGCGGCAGTACATATTTGATTTCGACTCCCTGGACCGGCTCTCTGCTGTCACGATGCCAAGCGTGGCCCGCTACACCATGCAGACCATCCGTTCCGTGGGCTACTACAGGAACCTTTATCACCCCCCAGAGAGCAACGCCTCAGTGGCTGTGGACTACAGCGAAGACGGCCTCCTTCTGAGAGTGGCTCACCTTGGCACGGGCCGTAGGATCCTGTACAGGTACCGCAGGCAGAACAAATTGTCAGAGATCCTGTACGACAGCACAAGGGTCAGCTTCACCTACGACGAGACAGCGGGAGTGCTGAAGACCGTCAACCTGCAGAATGAAGGATTCATCTGCTCCATCCGTTATCGCCAAGTGGGTCCCCTGGTGGACCGGCAGATTTTCCGCTTCAGTGAGGACGGCATGGTCAATGCACGCTTTGACTACACCTATGACAGCAGCCTGCGTGTCACCAGCGTGCAAGGTGTCATCAACGAAACACCACTGCCCATCGATCTGTACCAGTTTGATGACATCTCAGGAAAAGTTGAACAGTTTGGGAAGTTCGGGGTGATCTACTATGACATCAATCAGATCATATCCACTGCAGTCATGACCTACACCAAGCACTTTGATGCACATGGGCGCATCAAGGAGATCCAGTATGAAATATTCCGCTCACTCATGTACTGGATCACTTTCCAGTACGACGACGTGGGGCGAGTCACCAAGCGAGAGATCAAGATCGGCCCCTTTGCCAACACCACAAAGTACAGCTATGAGTATGACGTGGATGGTCAGCTCCAGACTGTGTACCTGAACGAGAAAGTGATGTGGCGCTATACGTACGACCTCAATGGAAATCTGCACCTGCTGAATGCAGGAAACAGTGCCAGACTTCTTCCTCTGCGCTACGACTTGAGAGACCGAATCACCCGCCTTGGAGATATCCAATACAGAATGGATGAAGATGGTTTTCTTCGTCAGAGGGGAGCAGAAATCTTTGAGTACAACTCCAAAGGACTCTTGGTACGGGTTTACAGCAAGAGCAGCGGCTGGACCATTCAGTATCGCTATGATGGACTTGGACGCAGAGTATCCACCAAGACAAGCCTGGGCCAACACCTGCAATACTTCTACGCTGACCTGAGCTACCCGGCCAGGATTACACATGTATACAACCACTCCAGTTCAGAGATCACCTCACTCTACTACGACCTCCAAGGCCACCTGTTTGCGATGGAGATCAGCAGCGGGGAGGAGTTCTACATTGCCTGTGATAACACCGGCACACCTCTGGCTGTCTTCACCAGTAACGGCCTCCTGGTCAAACAGCTGCAGTACACAGCGTACGGTGAAGTCTACTTCGACTCAAACCCAGACTTCCAGCTTGTGCTCGGGTTCCACGGAGGACTGTATGAACCCCTGACCAAACTGCTGCACTTCGGGGAGCAGGATTATGACATCATGTCAGGAAGGTGGACCATTCCAGATGTCTCTACTTGGCAAAAAGTTGGCCAAGAACCAGCTCCTTTTAATTTATACATGTTCAGAAACAACAACCCCATCAGCAAAGTCCATGAAGTGAGAGAATATGTTGCAGGTAAGAGATTTTCCTATTGATTATTATTATTAGAGCTGCAGCTAATGGTTATTTTCATTATTGATTCTTAAGACAAATTTTTTCACTTAATATTTTTATATCTAAAAATCCCATTATAACTTGCATAAGCAGCGTTACATTTTTTATCTGATCATTAGCCCAAATATATGAAGATTAACTGTGTTACATGACAGCCAAGCAGAACTTAACCACTAAGGGCCAGTGTCCACATAGTGTTTTTCTTCAGCAGAAAAGCAGTGTCAGGGTGCTGGGGAGCACTTCATCCCAACACTAAATGAAAAATAAGACCAGTTAGCCACCAAAAGACTACCTCAACACAGGGTTGACTACAGAGGCAACTTCAAGTATCCAAAGATGATGGGGTGTTGGTGGCTTAGTGGATAGAGCAGGTGTCTCTTGTGCAAAGTCCCTGACACGGGAGGTCCGGGTTCAACTCCAGCCTGTGGCACCCCACAGCATGCCATAATCCCCTGTCCAATATTGAGAAAAAAATAAATATTGCAAAGCAACAGTGATAAAACTGTAACACAGAGAAGAAGAAACCTGAAATAGTTGCCAATTAATTTGCTATCAGTCAACTAATTTAGGATTATTAGTAGCTGTATGTATATATACATGTATGTTAACATTTTAGATTCATTTATTTATTTTGGATTAAATATCCAATTAGTCACCTAAAAGAAAAATCTGCCATCTTTTATGCAGATATCCAATTAGTGTTAACAGTAAATGTCACCAATTGAAACAATAAATTCCTCAGTGCGTGCTCTCTTGATCGAGAACTGAGTTCTCCTGCTCATGGAGCCATGTTGACAATGCTTTCATTTACCAGGATGCATTGCATGTGAGCGTTTGGCTTTACTAGTCTGTTAAGCCTATAAAGTTTTGTCTATACTTCTGCAGGTAACAAAATAAAAACACAGCAGCTCCGTAGACTGAATGTGAACTACAACGGCAACAACTGTTACTTTTTACATAGCCCATGGCAGCACATTACAACTTACTCAGTTTGCTAAGAGGTAACTCAACAAAATAGCTTACAAAAGGGTAGGTGAAAAAGTACTCAGTGGTGACCTGCCCTCTCCATCCTGCTGGTCTTGGTCATCTTCTTCAGTCTATCTGCGGGATCCTGAAGGTCTCCAGCATCCATCTGTCAAAGTACCAAGTAAAACTTTTATGCATAGTAATGTGGAAACGCACATGCAAGTTCTCTCGGGGTTGGCATCGGCAACAGCATCCAACAAAAACTTACCACACTGAAATTTATTGCTGCAGAATGATTCTGTTTCTGTTGGCATTGGAGGCCAATTTGAGCAAAGGCACCAACAGTCGGTGTTTCCTCTCAGCAGCTCAGGCTCTGGAAGGTCTCCATCGGCCTCCAGCACAGCAGCCTCACAGCAACGGCAAAGTTATACTCTGGCTTAAATAAATACAAATGAATATTTTAGTCAGCCAAAACACAGTAAAATGTATTATGGCCTTCATTCATATTTTTGGGATGCTGTTTTCGCTGAGACAGTTTCTTTTACCAACTTGCGTTTCCTTGCATCCTCCCTCCTCCTGTGAAATTGTTCACCCTCCACCATCATGGAGAACTTTCCAACCCTTTTAATGCAATTTGAGGAGACAAGGAGAGAAGAGACTTTCTTGCATCTCTCACATCTTTGCTGGGAGGAGCTAAGATGTGAGGAAGAGAAGCAAGTGAGGGACACACGTTAGTAGAATGAAAAGCATCCATAGTTTGCAATTCAAGCAAGAGAGCAACAAAATGTTGTTTTTGAGCGGCATCAGAGATATTGGATAAAGGAGATACCCCACTGTAGGCTTATCCAATGTTAAGAAAATGGTTACTCTTCCTGTTTCCTAAGTGGGCGTGGTTATCTCTCCCTCCAATCAGAGCCTGTTCTCCCTCTGAACCCTCTCCACCCTGAATCAGGAAGTGAGGTGAGTGGGGTATCTCGCTTTATCCAATATCTCTGGCGGCATGTAGAGTGTACGCTGATTACCCAGAGGTAAAATAAAGCTTGTGGTTGTTCCTGCCACCAATTGCATCACTGTCATGTCACATGACAGCACTTGGATGCAGGAAGAACAACAGATTTTGTAGCTGCGACCTCGGCTCTCTTGGTCAATAAAGCACGCACCCAGGAATCTATTGCTTCTATCGACTGCATTTACCATCAACACTGATTAGGCATGCACATAAAAGATGGCAAATTCTCCCTTTAAATGCTCAAGGAATTGTTTAATCTTTTTTCTCAATTTACAGTATTAAAGTTTTGTCAAAACCCTCTCTCTAATAAACATTTATGGTACAAAGGTATTCATGTTGAAACTTCCTAAAAGCCTAATTTATTCTTCCTGCACAGATGTGAACAGCTGGCTTGTAACCTTTGGCTTTCATCTCCACAACACCATCCCTGGGTTTCCGGTCCCAAAGTTCGATTTAAGCATGCCATCCTATGAGCTGAGGAAGAGTCAGCGCTGGGATGATCTGCCGGTGGGTAAATTAATGTCTCTCATGCATATTGAACACTAATAAACAACTACTACACTCCTCCAGAAAATATGCTTTTGAAAGAGTAGGGGATCAGACAGACAACAACAAAAAAAAACTTTTTTTCCACTGTTTTTCTCTTACATCAGTATTTTGAAGCTGCCATCTCTTAATTGGATTGCTATGTATTTCATAGACTATCAATTTTAATTGGGCTGTATTTGCATAATAATACGCATAATAAGCACAAAGTGTACTTTCCTCTGTATTGTTCTTTTAGTTACCAGTTTTACACATTTTAACAACGTCTAGCTTTATATATAGTATTTTGATGTTGCTGCTGTTTAAACAATCTTTTGAGACTATTTATGCCAGGCTTCTTTGGTTTAAGGCCTTAACACAAAAAGTGTTGCTGTAAAATTGTCATGGGGGATTTATCTACTTTTGGCTTGAGAACACAGCTTGAAAAGACCATTATCTTAGACGGGGATGAAAAACTCTCTGAAGCAGAGCAGTAGCTGGTTCTAAATGGCCTGGAGAGTCAGGTTCTGCCATGTTCAGGCGTTAACGTTTGACTGCACTTTTCCTACAGTCTATCTCTGGGGTCCAGCAGGAAGTAACCAGACAAGCGCACTCTCTCTTGTCATTCGAGCGGCTGCCAGAGGTCCATCTCAGTCGAGGTCGCAGAGGTGAAAAGTCTTGGCTGTGGTTCTCAGCGGCAATGTCTCCCATCGGAAGAGCCGTTATGTTTGCCATCTACAAGGGCAGCGTTCACACTCACACGCTCAACGTGGCCAGTGAGGACTGTATCAAGGTTGCAACAATCCTAAACAATGCTTTCTATTTGGAAGACCTCCATTTCACTATAGAAGGGCGGGACACACACTACTTCGTCAAGCCAGGCCTTCCAGACGGCGACCTTGCTGCACTGCACCTCACCAGTGGACACAAGACTCTGGAGAATGGCGTCAATGTGACTGTTTCCCAGTCTACCACAGTCATGGATAGTCGGACACGGCGTTTCGCGGATGTGGAGATTCGCGCTGGTGCTCTAGCTCTTCATATCCGCTACGGATCAACGGTGGACGAGGAGAAAGCGCGGGTTGTTGAGCTCGCTCGTCAGCGCGCTCTTGCGGGTGCGTGGGCGAGAGAACAGCAGCGGGTGCGAGATGGCGAGGAAGGGGTCCGCCCCTGGACAGAGGGGGAGAAGAGGCAGCTTCTGAGTAGTGGAAAAGTTTTGGGTTATGACGGGTACTACGTGCTTTCCATTGAGCAGTACCCAGAATTAGCAGACAGCGCTAATAACATCCACTTTCTTCGGCAAAGCGAAATTGGGAAAAGGTAACAATACGAAGTGCATTTTCTGCCAAAGAGACTCAGTTTTGGTAGAGACATAACTAGCAGACAAAATGAAAAGCAACTGTAATCAAAGGTTGCTGCTATGTACTCTGAGTGTCGTGTGTTTTGTAAAAAAGAAAAAAGAAAAAAATACAAGGGGTCAAAAGCAATGCTGTGCATTGTGACCTAGGGACTACAGAGTAAATGTATAACTACACCAAGCCTTAACATGGCAATTACAGGTCAGTTCCTCTGTTGCACAAGCCTTTTGGACTCTGGACTCTGAAGCAGAGGAATAGTGGTGTCTTTTGGGAAACAGTGAGCTAATTTAGGTGTTTTACTTTTTTTCTTTTTTTTTTTTCTTTTTCCCCATCAAGAAAAGTCTGGCTCTACCGAAAGTATTATAAGAGCAAAGGAAATGTTTACATTATGCATATCTGCACTTCGTTAGAAGTACGGGGCTCGAGAGTTCACACTCCAAGAGCAAGCAGTGTCCTTGAGCAAATGTTTGTTTTTAAAATCAGAGACTTCGGACGTTAGAGATATCCTCACCAAACAACCACTATGTATACCAGATTTAGCACTGTAAACATTGAAAACATCAAAATGTCTTATTCTCTTTGAAATGCTTTTAAACTGAAAAAAGGAACAATTTCCATGTTTAAATACCCAATATTCATTGTGGAGAAGAAAAAAAAAAAAGGACAGTGACGGTATGACGAACTCTGTTGTGGGGGGAAAAGGCACAGATGTGTCTTGGATAGCACAGGGACACCATGTTTTGTAAATTATGCAAGAGTTTTATGGCGTTTTTTTTTTTAAGAAACTGAATAAATGTCTGTATTAGTCATATTAACAGTAATTTATGTTGTGTTTATACATGACAAATAAAGTCCAGCTGATTTTGATTTTTTTTTTTTTTTTTTTTTTTTAATTTTTCAGACAAGCATTTTTTTTAAGTTCCTCCTAATATGGCTATGTGGGGCTTCTTCACAATGCTCTGTTTAAGTAATTAACAGAAACCTGTGCATGTAGTGACAAGTATTTACAAGTGGTGATGTATCTATAACATGCAGTCAACTATTATTTCCACTAAATTTAATGTTTATTGGGCATAATGCCTTTTGACCTGGCTTCCTGTCCAATGAATATTTCATCAACACAAATATTTCATGAACCCATCTCACATAAACAAGGTTACAGTGGATCCAAATATAGATCACATCCATGTTCTCGGTAGGTATACTTTTTTTGAATGTTAAATGCACTCATGGATTAAAATGATATTGGGGTTCTTTTTTGGTGTGTTTTGTTTTTTTAAGAATTGGACTAAGTTCTGCCTTTTTGTTCCCATCTTTCACTAATCGCCGGTTCAGTTTCACAATGAATATGAGAGGTGAGAAAATTAGCTGGCGGGTTACTCAGACACTAATTTGGGTATCAACGATGCTTAAAGTCTTTCCAAATATTTAAGTATGCATGGTGCTAGTATTGCAAAAAAAAAAAAAAAAAACACTACATAAATAATTAAAAAATACATCTTCTGAGCTACAAAGCCAAAGAAGACAAATGCAGCATTAATTTGAAGTCAGCTGCTTGAAGCTGTTCTGAACTGAAGTGTGTAAATTGAAGCTTAAGAGATTTTGAGTGTAACTAACCTGAAATGTAGACAGCTGCCTCAAACAATCTACTACGTCAGCATCAAAAGCAAAAAGGATTTTAAGGAATGACTTTGTGTGAATATTTGATAGCTCAATTTTTTAAAATTACATTTGGGTTGTGAGAGAGAACTAGAATGAGAGTACAACAGACATTCCCATTCAGATCAATGCAGCAGGACGATCAGAGCAGCTGTCATTTTTATGTGAACTGTTGCTGTTGAGAATGTTGTACAAGCAAGTTGCAAACTCGCTGAGGTGAGCTTTTGCAGTAACAAGTTAGATAAGCAATCTGTTAAAATATCAACGCAACTGATATTTCCCTGTTTATATTCCTAACATTAATTGCATGTTTACTTAAACATGATGTCCTGTAGCTGCCACAAAAGAATGAGATGAGCCCATTTTACACTGCCTCTTCAAGGCGGGAATTTCACACTGTTATTCTGCCTTACACAGCACAGTAAGGCAGAATAACAGTACAAACGCTAAGGTACAATCGCTGAATGGGGGGAAAGAGTTGTCTTACCTTTAAGGCAGCATCAGAGGCAGTAACAGCACCGAAACCATGTCTGTATAAATGGGACAGCCAGCAGGACGGGATCATAGTGTGACATCTGATGATCTGTTATGCCAGCCACCACATGCTGGGAGATTTTAAAATGTAGCAGTTAGCAGCTAACTCATAGAGGAAGAACAGCAGCCAGAAATGTCACAGATTGGGAAAGCAATGAGGTGCAGGAGCTCCTGACCCTCTGAGCAGAGGACGAGTAAGTGGGATGGTAAATGATTGATATCACCATATTAATGCAATTGTTACTGTTCATGAAGCCCTGCCGTGTATGTTATATATCAGCAGGCCTCCTCTGTTAACGTCACGTCCATCGCAACTCTTGCTTCCATGATGCCACACATGAAGTCACACACAGAGGAAGCATGATGCTGCTGTTGTTTGGTGCTGTGTAAAAATGCACGAGTCATAAAGAAGGGACTTTGTAGCGACACTGTAGCGCAATCTCTGTGTAAAAAGGTCTACAGAGAAACCAGCGTGCCAGTCAGAATATTTTCACATCTAACTCAATGAATTAAAGGTTTATTTTAACCAAAATGGAG